GAGGCAAGGTTGCCCATTGTCTCCATTGCTCTTTAACATTGTAATGGAAGTTTTAACCATCACAATTAGGGAAGAGAAAGTGATCAAGGGTATCCATATAGGGTCAGAAGAGATTAAACATTCACTCTTCGCAGATGACATGATTGCATATCTGGAAGATACCAGGGTTTCTACTACTAAACTCTTAGAAGTGATCAAGGAATACAGCAGCATCTCAGGTTGCAAAATCAGCAGGCATAAATCAGTAGCCTTTATATATAACAACAGTAGCCAAGTTGAAAAAACAGTCAAGGACTCTATTCTGTTCACAGTAGTACCAAAGAAGATGAAATATTTGGGAGTTTACCTAACAAAGGACGTGAAAGATCTCTATAAAGAGAACTATGAAACTCAAAGAAAAGAAATAGCTGAAAATGTTAACAAACAGAAAAACATACCATGTTCATGATTGGGAAGAATCAACATTGTTAAAATGTCCATATTACCCAAAGCAATATATAATTTTAGTGCAATCCCCACTAAAGTTCCACTGTCATACTTTAAAGATCTAGAAAAAAATACTTCATTTTATATGGAATCACAAAAAAACCTTGAATAGCAAAGACATTACTCAGAAATAAAAACAAAGCAGGAGGAATCACATTGCCAGACCTCAGACTATACTATAAATTGACAGTGATCAAAAAAGCATGGTACTGGCACAAATACAGAGAGGTAGATGTATGGAACAGAATAGAGAGCCAATAGATGAATCCAGCTACCTACCATTACCTGCTCTTTGACAAGCCAATTAAAAACATTGAGAGGGGAAAAGATTCCCTATTTAACAAAGGATGCTGGGCTAACTGGTTGGCAACCTGTAGAAGACTGAAACTAGACCCACACCTTTCACCATTAACTAAGATAGACTCTCACTGGATTAAAGATTTAAACTCAAGACATGAAACTATAAAAATACTAGAAGAAAGTGTAAGGAAAACACTTGAAGAAATCGGCCTGGGTGAAAATTTTATGAGGAGGATCCTTCGGACAATTGAAGCAATATCAAAAATACACTATTGGGGCTCGGCACCTATGGCTCAGCCGGCTAAGGCGCCAGCCACGTACACCTAAGGTGGC